AATAATTTAGAGGGATGTCAGAGGACAGGGAAATATGCCTTACAGAGAGCCTCTGTGTTGCTAGGGCAAGAAAGAAGCTGGGAGCTGGGGTTTGGAACTCAATGTGCAGCCCCCTTTCTGCCTTCAGAAAGTCAGGGAGAGACAGAGAGAGAAAAGATGCTCAGAATCTGAGTGCCTGAGGAACAGGGACTGGGATCAACCTTAGTGAGAGGGGTGGTTTGAGAAATGCCAACTGGAAAAGGTGAAACTTCCAGCCTAGACAAATGATCCCAACCCTTTTCCATCTCCCAAGACATTTTATCTTTCTCATCCAGGAAGTGAGGGCAAAGTGTTTGCTCCAGCCTCAGGAAGAGGGATCTCCAGCCTGTCATGGCTCCAGGATGATGAAGGGCAAGAGGGAAAATACAGGGGCACTGAGCCAGAAAGGAGAAAATTCAGAGAGAACCAAGATAACCAGAGAAAATAGAGCGAAAGAAAGGATAGAGAAGATGGGAAAGGCAGAGGAAAGAAAAGAGAGCTACGTGAGAAGTTAAAGCCTGGGGGGACAAAGACAGTCAAGGAGAAATAGACCCCAAGAACAAGATAGATGCAAGGGAAAGAAGAGAAGGTCACGGACAAGGAAAAACACTAAGAAAGCTCTCAGATCTACATTCAAAGACTCCTGAATGAAGATGAACTAGAGAAGGGCAGACGAAAGAAAAAGGAGAGAGAAAGAGAAAGAAAGAAACAAAGAGAAACAAAAAGTAGATGCCCTGCCCAGTCTGGTCCAACCCAGAGCCTTGTTGTCTGCCCTGAAGGGAGAAAAGGTGGGGACGCTAACCCTCTCTCTCAAGGGACTAACCTGCAGCCTGCGGGCAAGAGAGGAGCTCAGCAAAGGGGGTGGGGTGGGGTGAGCAGCGAGTTCCAGGCTCCAAGAAGAACAGGTGGCCTCCACCGGGTTGAGCGCTGCATGACGGAGAGCCAGGGTTAGAGGTGGCACAGGAGGGCTAGCATGTGTGCACGCACAGGCACCAGGGGTGGGAGGTGCTAAGGTGATATTCCGCAGGACCCTTGAACAGTAAACCTGGCACTCGGAGGGAGCTGCTTCCCTGGGATCCTCGATAAGAAAATCATTTTCCCACTTGGGAGAACTGAGCCCCAAAGAGGATGGGAACCCTACAGCAACGGACACCTGGTCTGTTTCAAAGTGTGTTGATACCAAAAGAGGCGGAGATCTGAGGATCCAGTGCACCAGGGCATAGGGTAGGAACCGGGAGCCATTTCTACACTGCCAGGTGTCCAGAAAGACCCTCCCCAGTAAAAGTTTATATACTGACCAACTCCCGTAGAAAACTTCTTAATTAGGCCTCAGACCCCAGGAGAAACCCGGGTGCCTTACATTAACAGAGTTTCCAATTTAGCGACACCTCGGACAGGACTGAAAAAAGCTCCGCGGCAAATCGGGGTGAAAGTTTAAGAGGGAATAAGCGTGTAATAGACCCTCACCAGACCTCACACACGCTGAAAGGAATATTTACAGCGAACTTGCCAAAGTAAACGACCCCGCCTCTCCACCATCCTTTCCCCCTCCTTCTTCCTTTTTTGTAAACTTCAGATAAACACTATTCAATCACAAAAGGGTCGGTTTGTCTCCGTTGTAGTTTGAGGCAGGCAGTAACAGAGGAAAACACGGGACAACACTGAGGCGTCCAGGCCTTTCTTGTGAAAGGCTAGGGAAAGCTTCTCTGCTGCATAGGTGGCCTGAGCTGATGGCTGATTTGTTTGTCTCCCCGCCCCCCCCCAGCTTTATTCTCTGGGTCCTCTGCTCCCCACCCCTCCTGAAGGTTAAAGAAATCACACTCATACACATTACTCTATCCCCTTAAGAGCTGCAGACACATTACACCATGGATAGGATTTTAGAAATTAACTTCTATGCGTATTTTAATTCTAGGTCTACAGATAAGTGAAAAACTTCTTTTGCAACTCGGAGATGCTAGAAGATCCGTGGGTCCTTTCTGACCTGGAATTTGTCTTCCTCCCTTCTCCCACCCTTAAGGTATTCTTTCCCTGGACTCCGATGAGGGCCAGGTTTATTCAACGTCTCCCCTGCGTCTTTTATTGAGCCTGAGACCGAAGGAGAGAAGATCCACGGGTTTGCCAAGAGAAAAAAAAAAAAAAAAAGACTGCGGAGAGCTGGCGGCTGGAGCCCGAAGCTGGGCCCGGGGCCGGGGCCTGGGGCTAGCTAGCCGGGTGGGTCCTCCCGGAGGCCAGGGCCCGCACTAGTCTTCCGAACAAGCTGGCCAATGTTTAACCCGAACGCAGTGGCCACCAGGCTGCTTTTGTTTGTTCGCAAATTAATCACCCAGCGCACGGCCGGCGCCAGAGTGGGTTTATCACCCACCGGGAGGGGGGCGCGGCGGGCACGCAGAGACAAAGAGGAGTTCGCACCTTCCAGCTTTTGATCCCAGAATTACCGCGGCCTCCCTGCATAATACGAGCCTCCTGGGGCCGAGTCTGGGAGGTCAGTCATAATTGGCGGAAGTTTGCAGACCATTAGCAAGACGTGGACATTTTCGATTCAGAACCCCGCAAACTTTCCTCTCCCCCTCTCCTTGGCGTGCTGGAGAGGTGGGACAGGTGGGGGTCAGAAGTAGCAAACTGGGGTGACCTCAAGGTTAATTTAGAGCTTCGGGCAAAAATAGACAATTGAAGGAGGGGGCCTGTGTGAGGGGCAGAACTTGCTCTGGGTCCACGCGAAGCCTGAAGCAAGTCGAGATATTTACAAGTACAAGCAGCAAGCTCCCCTCCCATTTCCAAAACGGACAGGAGGCCAGAACGCAGAGGATCGGGTAGAAACGTCTCTCTGCCCTCCTGTGGATGTTTGCGGACACCGAATGGGTGAAGAGGGGGTCACGCTGTCATTGCAGAACTCCTCTCTTTCCACTCAGAGCGCGAGGAGAGATTGGCCTGCAAGTAGTCAAACCAGATTTTGGAGATTTGGGGACGCTCTTGGGCGCAGCAAAGTGGCCTCAGGCCCCGGAGGCAAGCAATGTGGGGGAGGGGGTGTTTGTCGCCTCTGGAGACTCAGGAAACCCTGCAGTGACCTCCGTGGTCCGCAGAAGAAGGGGGAAGTCCTGGCCTCTGGTACCCTTCACGATGGGGAGAGAGGACGCGGGGAGGGGTCTTCGTGAGCCACCTCTTTGGGCCCCTGCCACTTCTTTTCTCTTTCTCCTTCTCTTCTCTTAACTGAGGGTAGAGAGAGACATAGAGGACACCAGAGAAAAATCCAAAGGTGGAGAAAGGGACGAGATGGCCATACAGACCCGGTTTGCAGAACTATTCTATTCTTTCTGGTGACTTCAGGGAATTCTCAACACTGGTGCCAAGCTCTCTTAACCATGTGCGTCAAAAATGCGAGGCTGGAAAAGCTTGTCCTCTTAAAAGTTCCTCCCCTATCTTGGGGCAGTTGGCCCACAGTGGCACTACACATTCACCCTTCATTTGCCGCCACTTAGGTTCTGGGAGCTGGGGCTGGGGGGGGGGCGCGGTTATGGGGTGCACAGGGAAAATGTGAGAGAGGCCTGTGGTAGCTTACACAGACACACATCAGAAGCGCGGGTTTCTTAACGCCCTAGGCCCTGAAATCAGCCTTTCTCTGCTCCCTTTCCATCCATCAATCTCCGGGTAAGTAAAATAACATTATCGTCAAGAGTTCCCTCCATTTAAGTAAGGACGGGCCACCCCACCCCCTACCCCTTAATGGAGAACTGTGGGTTTGGGGATCCTTTGACCAGGCCTGGGGAGCTGGGTAACAGAGTTACCACCAATGCGGGCAATCCCCAAGTTCCTGCTGTCTCCTTCCTGCCTGAGGCCCCCACCTATACCGAAATCAGTCACCTCGCCTCTGGGTGGGGGCGTTTCACGGTTTGTTTTACAAATTCGCCCCCGACTTCTAGCCAGATAAGTCCCTGGCGTAGAGAAAAAACTGACTGAGGCACCAGGAGATAAGTACAGATGCCTAAAGAAGATATCGGGCTGGCCGGCTTCCCCCAACCAGCTTGCCCATCCCCTTACCCGCAGGCTCCGCACCCAGCCGACCCCAGAGGTGAGGACAGCCCCTTGGAGGGGACAGGCCCAGAAACTAGATCTTTGCTCTGCTCACTTTGTCCAGATCCTCCATTTTCCCCTCTACATCCACACACACATCCAGGTGGAATATGAGGGTCTGCATCCAAATGGAAGACGAGATCAAAAAGGGTTGCTAAATGTTATTTCATAAAAATTAGAGTCCACCTCCCCTGGAGAAAGCAGACGGGGGCAGCCGTGGAGGTGTTTGTGTGTACGTGTTTTTTTGTGCTAGTGTGTTGGGGCGTGTTAGAGTACAGACACACTGGGAGTGTTTGGGTCTCCGCACAGGGCCGCGGGTAGGGCGCGGTGGAGAGGGAGCCCACACATGCGTGTGCTGATATGTGGCTGCATCCGTGTTCTCCTATGTCCGCAAGCCCAGGCGCAAGGCAGTCCAGTACCGAGACACCCGAATTCGAGAGCGTTTAGAGGTGGCCAGGCGGAGATTGGCTCCACGTGGGGCTGGAGAGCGCGCAAGCCTAAAGTCTTGGCGCTGGCCTCTCAGCTGCCGGCGGCTTTTGTTGCGCCGAGCCGCCGAATGGCAGCTCCCAGGAGGTTCAGGCGCCCGCTCGGCTCGCCCGGGAATGGGGAGAGAGGAAGAGCCGGAGAAAGAACCGGCCGCGGCTGTCGGAGAAGCGAGCCGAGCGCGTAAGAGGCGAGCGCCCCTGCCCGGCGCCCGGGCGCGCTCTCCGCCTTCCCCGCCCGGCTCGTTCGCTCGCTCCCTCCCATTCTCCCTCCCCCTTCCTCTCTGGGCCTGCCTCCTCCCTCGATCCCCGGCTGGATGACTGAGGCATTTCAGACGTGGGCTGAACGAGAGCGAGCTAGCTCTGCGGCTGCAGCGATCTCTCGATAAGCCACCTAGAGGCGGCTCTGAGCGCGCGCTCCCCAGTGGCTCCCGCCCTCCCTCTGATCATGTTGACATATTCACAGGACAGGCAGTAGTACCGATGCGGCGCTGCGACGTTACAGTTTCCGACACCTTCTTTTTATAACTCGGCTCTATCCCCCAGCACTGGACCTGTGAAAACCACGCCTATGCAGCAACACAATTGGTCCGAAAGCGTCAAAGAGCCAATCAAGAGGCCTCCGGCTCCCCGCAGCCCACAGCGCAGCCCGACCTTCTAGAGCCGCCGAGCAGACGCCCGGGGAATTCTAGAGGCGGAGGAGGGTGGCGAGGAGCTCTCGCTTTCTCTCGCTCCCTCCCTTACTCCCTCCCTCTCCTATTCGGTCTATCTCTCTCTCCTTTCCATTTTCCCCCTCTAAATCCTCCCTGCCTTGCGCGCCTGGACGCAAGGAAGCGAATTCGCTCACGTTTTAGGACAAGGAAAAGAGGCACGGGAGACGAGCACTGCGAGATTCGGATTGAAACCGAGACACCCTCCGGAGGCTGGGAGCGGAGGAAGGAGGAGGAGGGCGAACGGAAGCCAGTTTGCAGTTCAAGTTTTGATAGCGCCGGTAGTAGGGGATTTTAATCAGATTTTTTTTCTTTTTCTTTCTTTTTTTTTTTTTTTAAGAGAGAGACTTTTCCGCCGTCTCGCTCCCGGTGAAAGCCGGGTCTAGCACAGCTGCAGACGCCTCCAGCGAGAAAGACAAGATAGATAGGGAGGCGGGGGAAGAAGAAAAAGCAAAGGTAAAAAGTCCAGGAGAACCATTCGCATTTTCAACAAAGAATCTAGGGACTGGGGAAAGACTCCCCGGACGAAGGGCTGGAGTGTCTATTTCCAGCTAAGCTGCAGGGCTCAGGCTCCGGTGGAGACCCCGCTAGCTCCTCTCGCTTCTGAAACCGACTTTCAGGAGCGGCTTTTTGAAAACGCCAGGCACAAGAACGGTCACCCGCGCGACTATGTCTCCTGATTTTTCGCCTTGCCCTCTTTAAAACCGGCATTTCTCCTCCCCTTTCCCCTTCCCTTTGAAGTACTTTAGTTGTGCTTTCTTCCTTTTCTTCCCTACTTTTTCTTTTGAACTATGTGCTGCTGATAAACAAACAAACAAAAACCAAAAAGAAACAACAACAACAAAATCAGCAGCGGCGGACTTGTCCCCGGCTGGAGCCCAGCGCCCCGCCTGAAGTGGATGAGCCTCTCCATGAGAGATCCGGTCATTCCTGGGACAAGCATGGCCTACCATCCGTTCCTACCTCACCGGGCGCCGGACTTCGCCATGAGCGCGGTGCTGGGTCACCAGCCGCCCTTCTTCCCTGCGCTGACGCTGCCTCCCAACGGCGCAGCGGCGCTCTCGCTGCCCGGCGCCCTGGCCAAGCCGATCATGGATCAATTGGTGGGGGCGGCGGAAACTGGTATCCCGTTCTCGTCCCTGGGGCCCCAGGCGCATCTGAGGCCTCTCAAGACCATGGAGCCCGAAGAAGAAGTGGAGGATGACCCCAAGGTGCACCTGGAGGCTAAAGAACTTTGGGATCAGTTTCACAAGCGGGGTACGGAGATGGTCATTACCAAGTCGGGAAGGTAAGCAAGGGACTGGGGCCTCCTTCCCCCAACTATTGGAAGAATTTTCCTCCCTGTATCTCTCTCTTCCCAGAACAGTCGTTGGCCGGTTCTTACGGCTAGAACGAAAACTTAGTTTCCCTAGAAATGTGTAGAGACTCTCTCAGGCCCTGCCCCAGTGGCAGAAAATTTCAGCTTACCTGGGCATCTGCATAAGCCTTCCATAGGACTGCGTCCTGGGTTCCCTACAGAACAGACAGAATTTTTCAGAGGAGCACAGACATCCCTGCAGGAAGCAAGGAGTTCCCTCTTCAGACCTTTCTAGAATATCCTCATTTTTTGGTTGATGTTGTGGTTTTGTCTGTTTTATTTTGTACTCAGAAAAAGTTAAAGCTCTTTTCTTTGTGATGGTGGTGGGAGGCCTTTTCTGCCCTTCAGCCTAGTCTCCGGGTCTGAAGGGGCCTGAACTTAGGCTGGCAGGGGGCAGAGAGAAACCGAAGGACATTTTGGTTTGTTTGCCCACACCACTTCACGTGTGTCTGTAACCCGAGGAAGAGTTCAGCAGGCAATTTTGGATAATTAAGATTATGTTTGCAGACCTCAGGAGGTGGTGTGGAGACATAACAACACAGCTATTTTGTTTGTAATGTGTGAATATTATAAACCATGTTTTACATAATGACTAAAGATGCTTGCCTAACCGAAATCTGTCTGGAAGAGAGAACCCTATAGCAAAATCACTGATTTTAAAAAAAGAAAGAAAAATAGCTCTGAAGTCTATGAAGGCATAAAGTTAAACAGATAATAATAAAACCCTCCTGTTGATGTCTTCAGCTTTCTGTCTCTTTCCCAGCTAAATGGGGCCAAAGTTTGGCATAAAATCCGGCTCCAACCCACAAGACATTTAGTTAGTTTCCCAGTGAAGTGTTTGCTTTTAAGTCTAGAGTACAGAATGCCAACACTTCTGCGAAATTAACAGCAATTTGGCCGCACAGTCTTGCAGTTTTGGACTGGCCTGAAAAGTAGGGGAATGCAGCTCCATGGGCAGATAGGTTATAAGGCCTGGTAGTCCACCCCATTCTGCAAAATTCATTCTGAGAACTCCCCAAAGTCCAGTTTCATTTCACTAACTGAGGGATTGCTGTTCTGCAGCAGGGAGAGCTTGCACGCAACTTGATATTAATTTCCTTGATAAGTTTAACATTTTCTCATCAATGGGTGGTGGAAAATTCTAGTTTCCACTGATGGTACTTTTACTACAATCCTACCCCAAGTTATTTAGAACTAGAGTGTCACAGGGAAAGACATGGGCATGGATTTTCTATAAAGAGAGTGATCTGTAGAGTCAGAGAGAGGAAAACAAATTTTTTAAAGATATGATTAGACAATGTAGAGAGATGCAGTGCCACAATTTATTTGTCTTGAATCTTGGGGCATCTAAACATAGAAAAATCGAGCGTATGTAATACCTTAGTGGTGGAAGAAAAATTTGCAACCAGTTGCTTCTCTGAAAAATAGACGCTTGTCAGTCACAATGGAAAGTCTTCGACTTAAATATTTGGGGGATAAATAGGAAATTAAACCCAAGCTTCTGGGTGTTTTATCTTTCTTTTTTCCTTTCTATTCTCCCCTATTGTAGACGAATGTTTCCTCCATTTAAAGTGAGATGTTCTGGGCTGGATAAAAAAGCCAAATATATTTTATTGATGGACATTATAGCTGCTGATGACTGTCGATATAAGTTTCACAATTCTCGGTGGATGGTAGCAGGTAAAGCTGACCCTGAAATGCCAAAGAGAATGTACATTCACCCAGACAGCCCCGCTACCGGGGAACAGTGGATGTCCAAAGTCGTCACGTTCCACAAACTGAAACTCACCAACAACATTTCGGATAAACATGGATTTGTAAGTTTCTGCTCCTTTCAAGTAAAATTTTCTCTTCTTGCTATCAAAGGCAGTGCTTCCCCATTTCTCCAGTTTCGGCCCAGACCTCTCCCTTGCTTCACCCTCAGCATAGCAAACTTCTCTGAACTACAGCAGAGCCGGAGAAAGGAGAGAATTCCAGGGTGTTTCTCTCAGAATAATGGAAGGCCTGGCAGTTCTAAAAGAAATAGGGGTTGGAAAACTTACGGCTCGTGTTCTCTAGCGATTCCAGCTCCTTGGTAGATTCCTGGCCTGACAGTGAAATGAAAACCCAATCACAAAGATCTAAAATCAATTTCAAAGATATGTGTTTGTAAAGGATTTGTTTGGGTTTAAAATATCACACTTCTATTTTGAAATCAGCCATATTATTTCCTGGGAGAGTTTAAGATTCTCGGAGCCTTGACTGTGTTGGGTAAACAGTGTGAATGGATTTTTTTTTAAACTTATTTTCTTTTACTAAAATAAGAATTGGTTTGGCTTAGGTGATAGTCGGGTTTGGTAAAAATGATCTCTAGTTAATAAATAATATGTGTGTGTATGTGTGTGTGTGGGGGGGAGTGTATATATGGATTTAGGAAGTGAGGGCTTAGAAACTTTTAGGAGATTTGAATTACTTGTACAAGTCAGGCAAGGGACCTTTTGCCCCTTTCTCTACCCCTCCTCAACATTTCGATAAAATAAACAGTGATAAGCGAGGAATAAGCAGAAAGATTAGGCCCAGGAAGACATGAATAGCGAGGAAACATCTTCAGCCGGCAGGAATTGCATTTGAAGCCCTTGATTTGATTAAGGCATAAATATTCCTCTCTAGAGTTCAGCCTTTCAGGGCTTTAAGTGGATTGGGCTCAGCAATTAGTGGGCGCTTAAAGTACTGAATCATTTTGTAAATTAAAATGCATGTTTTTCTCTATCTTTTAAGACTTTGGCCTTCCCAAGTGATCACGCAACGTGGCAGGGGAATTATAGTTTTGGTACTCAGGTAGGCTAGGGTTCAAGGTACGAATGATCTTTAGATGGTGAGGGTGGGGGGGACCCTTTTGGAAATTGAGGAGCAATTTGGATTCTCCAGAAGATAACATCTGTGGAGCAAAATGTACCCAGGAGGTACTCCAAGGAGGTGGGCTCGGTAAAAGTGGTACAAGCGTGGTACCCTGCGGGGGGAAGATGTCAGCTTGGCAGGGGTCCTAAGATCCCATTTGTCCTGCTAAATCCTCTTTTTTCTTTTCTTTTTTTTTTTTTTTTTCTGTGTCTCCTCTTCCCTGCCCCTGCAGACTATATTAAACTCCATGCACAAATACCAGCCGCGGTTCCACATTGTAAGGGCCAATGACATCTTGAAACTCCCTTACAGTACATTTCGGACGTACTTATTCCCTGAAACTGAATTCATTGCTGTGACTGCATACCAGAATGATAAGGTAACCAAGGGGGCTTTTCTTTTTAATGGTAATATTTCCCCTCCCCTTTAAGCTGCTTTGGGTCAGGGTGGGAAAGTTACTGGAGAATTGGGATAAGAGTCTTGAATTTTCTTTTGTGGTTTGTGGAGCATTGGGGTGGAGGTAAAGAGCACCAGCACCTTGAGGAGACAAGAAAAAACCTGTTAACCAGCAAGGACTTAAATGCTAAGTTAAAAAAAAAAAAAGCCCAACTAATTTTGTCACCAAGAAGCTCCTATAACTGCTGTCGCTGATGGTACCCACTCTCCACTCCCCGGCTCAGCTTTGCTCTGTTTGTTTAAGGTTCATCCTCTTCCCCCTTGGGAAGAAGGATCAAGAAATCAGGTTTAAAAGGAACTAGCTAAAAATTTAAAGCAAGAGCCATTCGGGATCATGAGAGGAGAATCCTAGTGAAGACCGGCTTTTCACCCCTAGCCAGAAATCCTGAGTAGCTGGTCTGGTTTATATTACCTTTTATGCTGCTGTGTTTTTTATGATGTGTATGTGTTTGTGTGTGTGTGTGTGTGCCTGCACACACACATGTATGTGGTTGGAAAAACCTACCCTGATCACAGGGTCATACTGATGGAGTTGTCTGAGGCTTTTGAGTTAAAGTGGCTGAAGTCACCATTACATTTGAACATTTTTTTCTCTTAGGCCTGAAGCTGAGTATTAGAAAGATCCCCAAATAGGGAAGTACCTGATATCTACAGTTAGATGGCCTGAAGGTCATGGGCACAGAGAAAGTGACCCTTGTTGCTGATTCACCAGTTCCCAAATTGGCTGTTAGCAGGCAGTTCTGGAGGTGGGAAGAGGACTGGTACCAGCCCTTCAACTTCTAAATCCTGGACTCAGTGGGAGTCCAGTTCACCTGATAACACTCAGCATTTTCAACTCATTGTCACTGTCTGTGGGTCCTTTGTGGACCTATGATAGGGATGTTCCAGATAAATTTCTTTATTTGGGGGACTAAGATATCATGACCTCTTCTCCCTGCCAAGTATGAAACCTGAAGTCTTGCTACAGCATTTTATTCCAAGAACAAGACTTCCACTGAGGGACCCTTTTGTCACCTCTGAGTAACCCTATATATATAAATTTGTCCCCCCAAGGGGAAGGGACTTGAAAGATTACATACTATGGCATTTTTCTTCAGTGTGCAAAATGCATGTTCCCTCTTAACCCAGAAACCAGTGAAACAAAGTTGTTAATGTAATAATAAAATGTAGCATTTTTGCTCAGACAAAGAAGCCAGGGGCCTTTTCCACCTAATGGCGGTGGCAGAGCATGTAAATGAAAACAAATGTTTCCAGTGGTCATTCGGTCCTTTTACATCTGTAATTGTCAGTATTGTAATTCCTCAAACCACCCCTCCCAGCAAAAAAATCAAACTCACTCCAACACGAGGGGAGCAAGGCCCCATAAATCATTTATTAGATTCATGGAAAAGGTTGGTACGTGTGGGGGTGTGTGTGTGTGTGTGTGTGTGTGTGCATTTGGAGGCAGGGGAGTATGCCATAACATATTTTATGATTAATTGCATTGTGTAAAAAACTCAAAATGAAAGAATAATTTTAAGATCTACAGGTTGCTCCGCCTGACAACTTTGACAACATTTCTATTTCTAAACCCAAGCTTTTGGCTGCCCTAAGAAAAGAATTCCCTTGGGTGATTTCAGCTGGAATCCCTGGTTTGGCTTCCTATGGGAGATGCAAGCTCTGGTGCAAGTGCCTTTGATTTCACTCCCCGTTTTCTCCCAATCTGCACCATTATCTCCTTTCCCTGACATCCATAGGGCTTCTGTTGCCAGTCACATTTCTAGGAGACTATTAATAAAGTTGGGGAAAACACTCCCAAAACACTCTGGAAAATGAAGCCAAAGTCTCTGTCTTGTTTGTTTCTCCTCTTATAGATAACTCAGTTAAAAATAGACAACAACCCTTTTGCAAAAGGTTTCCGAGACACTGGAAATGGCAGGAGAGAAAAACGGTGAGTTGGAACAATTATTTATTTCTCAGATAATTTAGAAAAATCACTTGTTTATGCTCCAACTCTCCAAGTGATAGAAGTGGGATGCAGGCACTTTCACTGAAAAGGGTGGGTGGAAATAATTTGCTTCCCCAACTCCTTAAATAGACTAGACTTTTTCTACCTCCTACTTGTTACCTTTAAGGAAATTAACTAGGCTATAACTATAGTTGTCTCTGGAAGAAAAAGATTGTGGAACACACATTATATAAGAATGCCTGTTAATTACTAATTTTAAGTTTCTCCTAGGCAGGTCCCAGGAAGGGACAAAATCATTCACACAATGCTTTGGAATTTTTGCAGTCTTGCCTTTCAGATACCTTCAGACAGAGCTGGGGCCCCTTGAGAGATCTAAGACTTACCCCCTTCATAGGGTTGTGTATCATTTTGCATTAAGTAGACAGCTAAAGAGGATATGAAAGAGCTCCCCTCCCCCACCCCTTTCCAAGGAATTTCTAAAATCCAGAAAATCACCCCCAATTTTTGACCTATATCCCCTTGGGGTGGCCCTTAAAAAATAATCTCTAACATCCAAATAGAATTTTATTCCAATTAATGTGTTGGTGAAACAATTACAGTAGAGTGCACCATGAAATAACTATTTCCTCCCAATGTAGCAACCTTCCAGGAGTTTGGTAGGCTGGGGACAGACCACATTGTGTTTGCAGGGTTGGGCACCCAGATTGCCCTCTGTAAGGCCCCCAGGTCAGCTGTCTGTGGCTAGCTCCACCCTCTCCTCTTTCTCTGAAATAAGATGTCACAGCCCAAGCAAATGCCTTTTTCTAAGGAAACTCCCATACTGAATAAATGCAACTGAAGCCTTCTTCCTTCCTCCCTGCCCCCATGCCACACTCTTCAGCTCAGTTAGAGGGTCAGAACAAAGCGTAGGTTTGTGTGACTGCCCTGGGGCAGGCAGGTTTCAGAGAATTAAGGTTGTCCGTGGGCGGCAGTCGGGTGAGGTATGTATATGCCCCTTTGGAAATAGTTAAGGAAAACAAAGGGGGGAAATGTACGTTGCATTCAATAACGCTGGGTGTGGGCTTCTGCCACAGAAAACAGCTCACCCTGCAGTCCATGAGAGTGTTTGATGAAAGACACAAAAAGGAGAATGGGACCTCGGATGAGTCCTCCAGCGAACAGGCAGCTTTCAACTGCTTCGCTCAGGCTTCTTCTCCAGCAGTCTCTACTGTAGGGACATCGAACCTCAAAGGTAGGGCTGGTCACCTCTGTGATGAGTGGACTGAAGCTCTTGGTGACCTGGAAGTGTTAGGAGGATGGGTACTTACCCTTTAAAAGCTGCAGACCCTTCTAGATGAGACCAAAGTTCAAACAGGGCCATCAGGTGTGTCCCCACCACCACCACTTTCCTAAGGTGGCAGAGCTCAGAACCCCCTTTTCAGCAAACAAACCTTATTTGGCTGGGACGTGTCTTTGTAGATTACCTCTCTGCTGAAGCAGCTTTGAAAATGTGCCTGAGGCACTTCTCTTTCTCTCCTCTCTGCCCCTATATCTCTCCAATCAAGAAAGTCTCCAATTGATGATGACTTTTCACCATCTTTGAACTTTGGGGAGGGGGAAAAGCAAGGGATTCTGCTACCTGTAACAGAAGGTGGCTGAGAAAACATCCACCTATGGACAAAACAGTTGACCTGGGAGAGGAGGGTGGCGCATTGGGGATCTGCCCTACAGGTGGAGTTTGAGGGTGGGAAGAGTGAACAAGAGGGTTCAAATCCCCAGTCAGCTCTCTGTGTTTAAAGAACAAGCACTATGTATTTGGAAAGACACATGGTCTCTCACAACTGGAAGAAACCTATTTTTTTGTGAAATAAAATGAAAGTCCTTTATGTCTTCAATCCATTTAAACTTGAAACCAAATAGGATCCCTTTTCCTTTCTTTTCCTTTCTTTCCCTTCTTTTTTCTAGGACACCCACAGAGGGCATGGTGAAAGCAAAAATGAATCTAGAATTGTCCCCAGGCTGTGAGCAGGCTGCCCTGCACCCATGTCTGTCTGCAGAGACTGGGGAAGGCTTAGTTGTAGTGTGGGTATTAAGGAAGGAGTATCGTATTATGCCCTTACCAATTCGGATGCCAGGGCTCTCTCCAAACAAATCCTTCCAACATAATTCACAAATTTATGGAAGGTCCTGATCTCTGTCACTCACTGAGCAGACTCTGGTAGTAATTGGAATGTTCCACCAGTGACTTTTACAGTCAGTTTTTAAAAAACACACACACACACACACACACACACACACACACACACACCTAATTTGCAATGGAAAGGAAAATGCATTGTCAAGGCTTTGTTTGACACAACAGGTGGTCAAAGGTGCTTGAAAAAATAAGCAAAATCAATTATAATAACAAGAGCTACTGATTTGGGGGTGTATCCTTCTGAGGCAGGGTTAAACTCTCTCTTTGGGGGTGTATCCTTCTGAGGCAGGGTTAAACTCTCTCTTTGGGGGTGTATCCTTCTGAGGCGGTGTTAAACTCTAGTATCTAAATATTTTTAGTTCATTAACAGCTTGTTGAATCTCAGCCAGTTATCCCCATTTTGCAGATGAGAAGACTGAGGTGCAGAGAGGTTAAGGGGTTTGCCCAGGATTACGCAGTCAGTAAGCGACAAGCTGGAATTCAGATTTGGGAATTGGAATTCCACCGGCCCAGACTGGGGCTAACGCCTTTGTGTCTCGCTTTTTGTCTTCTCCTATGATCAGATTTATGTCCCAGCGAGGGTGAGAGCGACGCTGAAGCGGAGAGCAAAGAGGAGCACGGCCCGGAGGCCTGTGACGCGGCCAAGATCACCACCACCACGTCGGAGGAGCCTTGTCGTGACAAGAGCAGCCCGGCGGTCAAGGGGCACCTCTTCGCTGCAGAGCCAGGTGGTCGGCCTCGAGACACGGGGCGGCTGGACAAGGCATCGCCGGACTCGCGCCACAGCCCGGCCACCATCTCGTCCAGCACCCGTGGCCTGGGCGCGGAGGAGCGAAGGAGCCCGGGCCGCGAGGGCGCGGCGACGTCCAAGGTGGAGGAGGCACGCGCGCTGCCTGGCAAGGAGGCCTTCGCGCCGCTCACCGTGCAGACAGACGCGGCTGCCGCGCACCTGGCCCAGGGCCCCCTGCCTGGCCTCGGCTTTGCCCCGGGCCTGGCGGGCCAGCAGTTCTTCAACGGGCACCCTCTCTTCCTGCACCCTGGTCAGTTTGCCATGGGGGGTGCCTTTTCCAGCATGGCGGCTGGCATGGGGCCCCTACTGGCCACTGTGTCCGGGGCCTCCACCGGTGTCTCGGGCCTGGATTCCACTGCCATGGCCTCTGCTGCCGCGGCGCAGGGACTGTCCGGGGCATCTGCGGCCACCCTGCCCTTCCACCTGCAGCAGCACGTCCTGGCCTCTCAGGTATTTATCCTGCTTCCTCCTAGCTCCTCCCCTGCTCCCTCTAGTTTCTCTGCTCCTTGATACCAGATCCTCACCCAGCCTCTTGGCTAGCAGCTTTAAATAGTAGAGACAATTAATAAGAATTTTTATTAAGCCATTACTAGGTTCAAGGCTTATCTCACTGACCCCTCCTCAAAAAAAAAAAACCCTTAAAAATATTTTTCTAAGTTAAAGGATGTTTCCAGCAGAGTAGGTAGGTAGATAGAGTGACTAGGTTATGCACACCACTTAACTTTGTACCAGGTGCTCTTCTGAGTGCTTGATCTACTCTGCTTCATTTGATGGAACCCTTTAGTGGCATGATTATGATTATCACTCCCACTTTACAAATGAAGCAGAAGAGGTCCAGAGATGTTGAGTAACTTGTCCAAGATCACACAGTGTTTACACCATAGAGCTGGGGTTCTGTCTGTCCTGCTGTCTGACTCCAGGGCCTCTTATAAGGTTTTTGAGTTTAGCTTCAGAGTAACTTCTTAAGTATCACATGGCCAACCCTCCCCACAGGAATTGGACCAGGGAGAAAGGAAGGCCTGGGAAGGGGAAGTAACTTTTGGAATTCAGTCTTGAGTCTCCCGGCCTTTTCTCCCCATCCCCCACCTGAGAGCAGGCCAGCCTACTCCTCACAGGGTAAATGGTTTGTGCACACATGGGAAATGTCAGAGGAGCTGGACCAGAGGAGACTGGGGGCAGGCCTGGTGGTCTGTGTATGGTTCAGACAGCACAGGGTGGTTGGGGAGAAGTCTCAGGCTGCTCAGAACCCTCTGAACCCAGTGAAAAGGTTCTATGCCGTTTCCTGCGTGCTGTTGCCTTTTGTTTTGTCTAAGCACATTTGTCTCCCTTCTCTGAGCCAAGAGGCAGGATTGCCCTCCCCCTCTCTGGGAAAGAGGGAGCTGAGAAAAAGACTTCTGGCACTTCTCAATTCCCCTCAGCTCTTCTGCTGGCTTCTCCGGAGATGGTGTCATAGGTGGGCAGGTGATAGGTGGACTAGGGGCTGCCTGTGTGCACAAACACTGATGGTACCTCAAGGCATGGCACAGAGAGAAGTGGCCCAGTCCCAGGTCCCCACATTTTCAATGCTGTTTCTGTCAGTTCCTAGCTCAGTGAGTTCCTGAACTCCTGGGGCCTACCTTAGCTTCCCACCTGTAATGTGGAGCTGGCTGATTTCTTTGTCTCTGTTTATAAAAGATGCCCTTTTATTTCCTCCCCTCACTTTGATTTCCTTTTGCTTAAGATCTTCCCTGGGGGGGGTTCATTTGAATAATTTCTAAGATTGCTGTGTGAGGATTTGAGGAGGAGGGGGGACAAGAATGTCAAAATAAATTATGCCTAAGAATTTATGCCCTTTTGTTCTCCCTCAGCCAGCTTGTGGGGTAGACTGAATCTGTAGCCCCATTTAGCAGGTGCAACAACTAACCCTTGGGGGGATTGCTACAGTCTCTGTGTACATAGTGGTTCATTTCATATGCAACAAGTCCCAAACGGTATATGAATTCTTACAGTTTCTGTTTTTTTTTCATATAAAGAAGCTGAGGTACAGGGAGTTAAGTCCCTCTGCCTAGGGTGACACTACTAAGATTTGAACCTGGAGAAGCCCGAGTGTTGTCCCCACACACACACACTTCTCAAAGGAAAAGGATTAATGACTTGCCCTTGGAGGGAGGAGATGGAAGAGGTTGGCTCCTCCTCACTCTGCCGCCCCTACTCGGCTGACGGTCCTGTGCATTTCTTTTGCTTCCCCAGAGCCTGGCCATGTCGCCTTTCGGAAGCCTGTTCCCTTACCCCTACACGTACATGGCGGCGGCAGCGGCCGCCTCCTCTGCAGCGGCCTCCAGCTCGGTGCACCGCCACCCCTTCCTCAATCTGAACACCATGCGCCCGCGGCTGCGTTACAGCCCCTACTCCATCCCGGTGCCCGTCCCCGACAGCAGCAGCCTGCTCACCACCGCCCTGCCTTCCATGGCAGCGGCCGCGGGGCCCCTGGACGGCAAAGCCGCTGCCCTGGCGGCTAGCCCCGCCTCGGTGGCCGTGGACTCGGGCTCGGAACTCAACAGCCGCTCCTCCACGCTCTCCTCCAGCTCCGTGTCCTTGTCGCCCAAACTCTGCTCCGAGAAAGAGGCGGCCACCAGTGAACTTCAGAGTATCCAGCGGTTGGTCAGCGGCTTGGAAGCCAAGCCGGACAGATCCCGCAGCACGTCCCCATAAACCCCTCCCAGAAAAAGTCTCTTCATTCCAGTCCAGTCAAGTCTGCAGTGCACTTTGTCGGATGTAAAATAAACCACGGGCCTGCCGTGGCGTAAGCCCTTTCCTTTGCAGTCCTGTCCAGGAAGGGGTGCTGGACTCTCTTGAGAGAATGTACTAGAGACAGGCCCTGTCTTCTTGGCGTGGTTTATATATCCGGGATCTGGCTCTGATTCCGTTTGTTGCATTGAGCTATCGGGGGTGGAAGTTAAAACAGTATGTGGAGAACAACTTCCAGCCAGGCTGGTCTGGGAGCTGTGGCTGAAGAAAACGGTAGCCAAGCCCACCAGGAGGGGAGGTGTTCAAAGGCACCACCTCAGTGTGGATTTATATATATATATATTTTTTCCTTCACTGTGTCAAGTGGAAACAAAAACAAATAAAATTAAAAAAAATTGGGACAAATGCATACATTAACTTGATTCTGTTTGTGAAGATTAAAAACTTTATAGTGACTTGCATTATCAGTTCTCAATAAATTACTGAGCAGCATTGTTTGGGCAGGGAAACCCTGCCATCCTTGTTTAGTCTATATTAAGAATTAAATCTGTGTCTTTTTAATATTCTCGTGATGTTTTAAGAGCCGCTGTAGGTCTCTTTTTGCATGTTCCACAGTAATGTATTTGTGGGTTTTATTTTGAAGGCTTGCTTTTAGAAAGAAAACAACATACCCCATGCCCCTCTCCCAATCCTGTGTCCTCAAATTGGCAACCCCCAGGGGAAGGGGATTTAGAGGGGAGAGGGTGGAAAACACACAAAATGAATTTATTTTATCTAAGCTGTGTAGCAGGATTCGTGTTCTCTTCGGCAGTTCTTTCTCTTTCCTGTATATGCAATAACAAGGTTTAAAAAAAAATAATAAAGAAGAAGCGAGACTATTAGACAAAGTATTTATGTAATTATTTGATAACTCTTGTAAATAGGTGGAATATGAATGCTCAGAAAATTAAACTTTAATTTATTGACATTGTATATAGCTCTATGTAAATAGGATTGGCGACTGTCAGATTTTGTCCTTGTGTTTTCCTTTAGTTGATTTTTATTTCCAGGTCACACACTTTCTGCACCAACACGAACACACTTTCAAAAGAGTTGTTAGCCATTTTTCTCAAAGTGGGTGAAAGTGCTATTTCTTATGTTAGCCAAAATTGGGGAGGGGGTGCCACTTTCCCGTCTAGTTTAAATTCCTTAAAACACAGCTGAGATTGCTGTGGAAGGGGGCAGAGGCCCGTGGTTTGACTTTTTATTTTTTTCTTTTGTATTTGTATTTGCTAGTCTCTAATTTCCCCAAACGAAGTGGAATTAATTTACTACTGTGTTCAACATGGATGGTGTTTTGAATTGGTGCCCGTAGGGACATACTTACAGTTCTAAAGTCAGGTGCTGAGAGATCGTTTAAAGACAAAAATTCATGAAGGTATATTTTGTGTTATAGTTGTTGATGAGTTCTTTGGTTTTCTGTATTATTTTTCCCCCTCTCTTTAAAACGTCACTGAAATTTCAATAAATTTTTATTGAAATGGCTTTGGACCTCGTGTTAAATGCTTTCTTTAGTAACCTTTGCTGAAGGTGGAGGGTCAGGGAAGGATTCAACCCCTTCTTTCTCGTCTACCCACTTCCATTCGCCTTTAAATAATTAAGACCGCCCCCAGCGAACCAAAATAAGTCACTCAAGTTACAAAGCTAAAAACAAAAGTCCCTTACTCGGGCGAAGGGAGCTGCTCAGAAATCTGAAATTACTTTTCCTTTAACTTAGGAAGCAAAACGGAAGGCGGAAAGGGGCCTGATTAGAATTCGGGAAGAATAGTAATTTTAGGATACTTAAGTTTTAATGGGAAAAGACAGCCTTGCTCTCTAAGTCAGCTTTTCCCACACGGATCAGACCAAAAAGAAGTTTGAGCACTACGAATGTTTTTCGTTTTCAGCTCGTTCTCCCCCTTGACAGAGACCTGGGGAATCCGAATCAAAAAATGCCTTCTTGCACCCGTCTATTCGGCGCGGGAAAGGGCTAGCAGAATCCCCTTTCCACCGGACTGGGCTTGGCGAGGCAGCAACTCTCCAGGTTAAAGAAGGCAGGACTGAACGCCTCCAGCCAGGCACACACTTCTGCCTGTCCCTAGTGCCTCAAATTGAACCAGGCTGGCCCAAGGCGCCCCTACGAGGCCTCATCTATCCCGAGTTGTGCGTGCGAAGCACGGCCAGCCCCGCGCAGACTTAGCTGTGTCACGCGAGGGAGGAGGGAAGTTTTCCTTGCGAGGGAAAGGTAAACGCACAGCGCATGTTTAACCCCCTCCAAAGGAAAAGTCACCCTGGAGGTTGACATCCTCTCCTAGTTCTCTCCAGCAACCAGGCTCCAGGCAGTTTGGGGAGTTGCCTTTTGAAGTTCAATTTATCTTTGAAACATTCAATAAAAAATGGTGAGGCGGTGTCATTCTTTTGGTCTCCCCACCTCCAGGCTTGCCTCCGAGGTGCGTGTGTGTCGGGGGGAGGGGGCGGCCTGGGAAGGTTCTTCAGGGTTAGTCCTTACGCCTTTTCTTGCCTTGGGGGCCTTGACGTGAAGACCAAGCCGGAGCCTGCCTGGCGGCTGCCTACCTCCCCACCCCCAACCCCTGGAGCCCGCCTGCCCGGCCCCACGTCCCTGTCACCTTTGGGGCTGTTGAATGGCCGGCTAGGAGAACGCCTCCACCCCTCCTTCATCCTGTACTTGGAAGGGGACCCAGGTCGAGACCTTTTGGAGAGGAAGGCAAAGTCCTTTCCATCTCCAGCCAGCACGTGGGGAGCCCTACGGCCTCCCCTGCGCTGTCTCTTAGGGTGGGAGGGAAGACAACCCGGAGGAGGGTGAATTTGGAGGCCCGGGGGACCTCGGGCGGTAGCTTCTTGAGGGCCTGGAGATGTCCAGGGCCCGCGTCTCACGCACGGCCGCTGCTGCCCAAAAGGGGACGATTTTCGGCCCAAAGATAACTGGGTGCTGCACCCTTGACAAAGTGGTAGCTGGCTGTTGCGCCTCAAAGAGGCAAGAAATGCGTTTCTTTCTCAGTTCAGATGTGCTCACCTCTTACCTAACCCCTAGATTCGGGGACAGTGCTCAGGCGCGTGTCCAGCCTGTCCTACAAGCTTGGCTTTTTTCTTTTAATCTCCTGTGCATCTTATTTGTATATAGTGACGTTAATGAGTAACTCTTGTGGCGCTGATGGACAGGGGGTGAACCGCTCGCAATCTCTCTGGATTTCGCTGCCTATTACTCACCTGGCGCCGGTCGCAATCTCGCCGCGGGCTTTATGGTGGCGGCGGCGGCCGCCGCTGAGGCCACTGCGGGCCGGCGCCTTCGCCCTTTTCCCGGGCTTCGAGTGCCACCTATCTGTCTGGCCTACAAATGCGCCCTGGACACCGCCGCTTGCTCAGCACCCCAGCGCCTCCTCGGTTCCAGAACTTGGGCGTTTCACCTTTACCCTTTCTCGGGCCGCCCTTTTGCCCCCAGCCCGCACTCCCCTCCTCTTCCATCTCCACTGCCATCCTCCACATCGGAAGGAGCAGCGATCCTCTTTTTCCTGGGTATCTCTTTCACTCCTGTTTGGGCCTCAGAGGAGAAAAATAGTCCTTTCCTCCTCTGGATTTTCAAAGAACGTTGGAAATTCAGCGAGAGAACCCTCGTGCATAGTTCTCTCGCCAAGTACCGTGCGGCTCCGTGTAGAAATCTCCTAGAGACCCCTGTTCTAGACCCCTCCCGGCAAGGAATAACCTGAATTCACGATGGGTAGAGAAAGGATACTCCTTTTCCTAACATACACACCTCTCATTCTACCCTGGGTACGACTTTTCTTGCCTGGACGATCTCTTGCTTACTTTGCAACACTGGAAGTTTTCGTTTTTTAACCTGGCGTGGTCTACAGGGACAAAGGCCACGGCTCGTGGGAGCGGCAAACCATACGGTCCCTGGCGGGGGTCAGCTACTGCAGCCTGCAGGGCCCAGCGACTTCATGATTTGTAGATTTAAGGTGACAAATGCGAGTGCGGGCTGGAGGCCTCCGGCCCCTGCCTGTCGGGAGAGTCGGCTCCAAGCCTGGCTGAGCCCTGGCGTCTGAGACCTGTGGAGGGGAGGGGGTGGGGTCGCCTTTTGCTGTGCTTTGAGCCGGGTAAAGGCGTCCGGGTTCCTGCTGACCTCCCGGCGCTAATTGCAGGGGCCGAAGGGCGCGCTCGGGCAGAGGCAGGGGTCACGACCCAGCACTCCCTCCTCCCGAGGTCTGGGCAACCCCCAAGGAGCCGGGTGTGTGCAGGAGGGTGTGTGCGCGCGCCTGAGGCCTCTCTCTGATCTGCGCTGTCCTGAGACCCACCCTTTCTTTGAGAGGACAGTTCTCGACCTGCAGGCCCTCTAAAAATTTCCAACCACGAGGGAAAACCCGGGTCCTGAACTTTCCCTTAAGCCAGCAGACGGCTCCAAGAGGCTTGAAATGCTTCACTTCTGCGTGCTTTCTGCCCCGCTGATTTCCAAATTTGACCTCACCACAACAGACCAAGAGAGTGGCTGTCTGGGTGTAGCTACCAGGTTTGGAGAGGCTACCTGGGCTCTTATACATGCAGCCATCTATGTTCCTACCTATGGGTAGCCCTTTGGGGTGTTTGCACTCTGGGGCCAGGAACTGCAGGTGTTAGAACGATATGTGTATGTGTTTGTGTGGACTTCTGCGCGCTCCATCTGTAGACGTCTCTTCCAATTTAGAAAGTTCATGTCCAAGACAGTTCCGGATGTAGATGCATTTGGTTGTTTTATAATCAAGATGCGTATAATCAAGAAGTATATGTTGCAGATGTCCGTGTTCAAAGTACATGTAGCAACAACAATAAAAATAGCTGGTTTGCAGGGGCCAGGAGCACGTGCCAGGTCTGTTAAGCAGCCCACAGAAGTGACCTACTTTAGCCCTCACAATTAACCCTTTCAGTTGTTTATAATTTTTAATCTGTGTTTTACAAAGGAAAATACTGAGGTTCAAAAGAGTTATTTACCTTAGGCCACCCCCGCCCCGGAAAATTATGGAGCCAGGAGTTTGAATAGAAGGGGGCTCCAGAATCTTTTTTTATTCCCATTCCTAACTCAGGTGGAGGTGTAAGTATTTGGGGTGAATTTGTCCTGGAGCTAGAGTAGTCTATGAGTCTGTTCTGGAATTGGGAGTATGTCTCCCACGGTTTCATCTGAGAATATTTTAGTTGCTGCATGAATCTGTCATGCAAAGTCTCTGTTTTCTGTGTCCGAAACACTCACAGGAGCTAAGACCGAGGGTATGGGACATTTCTCCCCAGGCAGATGAAGAGCGAGATTGACTGGGACAGACACCCAATTTCAAAATGTCTGGAGCAGGGCACTGAATCAAATACAGGGTTCTCCATACCTAAGCAGGGAGAGAAGCTGAGTGCAAAAGAGGGAATTGCCAGGGCTGGCAGGGGCAGGGTGACCACTCCAAGGTTTCTCTTTCCATGGGGGTGGGGGAAGAAGACTCTAGCTGGGTGTCTCAGACTTCCCTCCACTGGCCTCAGATCCTCCGGGTGTTTCCAGCATTTGCTGTGCTCTATCTACCCCTGGGGCAAAGGCCACACAGTCTGGGGGCTGCAGGTAAGGAGTCCGTAGGCACAAAGTTCGTTTGTTTTTTCCTAGTTCCACATTGCCTAGATTCCAGGAACCTACTCAAATTTAGCTTTTTTTCCTGCTCTCTAATCTCTAACTTTTTGGCCCCAGCTGAAGCTGAGGGCTCAGCTAATGGAAGGATTAATTCTAATGAGAAGTCAGCCAAGAGGTGCTAAGGGCCCCTGGAAGGAAGAGCAGAGCCAGGTTATGGGGCAGGGAGATCCAAGTCCCCACAGCCTGGGCAACTGTAGGCCCCGGGCATCTGGAGTGTCAGGGCCTGAGTCTGGCTGCATACCCGGCAGAGGTGAAGTTAGAAGTGCCTTGCGCCTCCAAAACAAGGCGCTTTTTGCTAAGGGGATGAAGTCTCGGGGGAGGCCTTTGCATCCCGCATCTCACAGATCTTGTGCAGTCTGGGGAATGAGGGGCAATAATGAGGTGGGTGGGGAGGGAAAGGCAACCAGTCGGAGGAACCTGGATGGGCCCTGTCCAAGCCTGCCCCCACGGTAAGTCCAAAGCTCCCAGTCCACCAGACTATTTGAGCTTTTGAAATGCGATCTCAGGGAACCACTTCAGTTTCCAGCTAATGACACGGGCTCTGGTTTCGGGCTGGGGAGTTGCTTCCCCTGGCCAGTACAGCCAACTCTCACCTAGGTGCTCTTAATGCCGTGTTGGGTCCAGGAAGGTGAGCCCCTTACCCCTTCTCCCCCATGTTCTCTGAGAGTCAAGGCCACCACAGGCACGAAACTGACACAGGGGTAAGAAACATTTTCCTGCCACTTTTGCCTGTTGTCCACACCAGTCCCCAGCGTGTGCAACTTTGACATAACTTTTTGTTTTGTTTTGCATTTTGCAGGGACCAAAAGCCCCTTCTCTAACACTATAGCACCAGCTGTCCCTAAGGCGTTAC